CACGTTTGTGCTAGCCCAGTGGAACGCCAATAGTTCAATGTCGTTTGTTCGGAAATGCTCCTATGCATTTCGAAACAATCATTCTCACAGAAATAATTAATTCTCGGGCCACCCTTTACGAACTGTATCTGGAAATGGAGGCAAACTCATGGAAAAACGGTATACACGTTTATATATTGTTTTTGGATCAGATAAATTAAATTTCCATTCATTTTCATCATGGGGAAAAATGATTTGAAATACCGTATTTTCCACACTAAAAGGTGCACTGGATTATGAGATGCACCGTCAACAAATGGGCTATTTCATAATTTTTTTCATATATTGTACACACCGCATTATAAGACTCAATCTACAATGCATCCACTAGATGGAGCTACGCTCAAGGAAATGCCAACAGAACACTACACCACCCTGATTTATATAGCGACGATCAGATGTCAGTAAAACTTACTGAATAAAGCAGCGACACAGTTCACTTAACCAACAGCACGTTATAACATTGACTCGTTAACGGTGAACTCTCTTGCCGCTGCTCTATTTCCGCGTTCAACGATGTAACCGATCGCCTTCAGTTTGAACTCTGCGTTCTAAGCATGTCTCGAGTAAGAAGCTATTTTGGGGTTGACATATTACCGCAATGACCATACACAAGGCGCATCGGATTTTAAGGTGCGCTGTGAGCTTTTAAGAAAATGGAAGGCTTTTAGGTGCGCCTTTTAGTGCGGAAAATACAGTACGGGTTTGTGAGATACGTGGTCACGGAATGAAATAAACTCGTATCTCAAGGCTCCACTCTTTTGTGTCAACCCGTATATTCAAGAATAAAATGCCGGCTGCCTCTTTCGTGTATACTGGTTTGAGTTAGCGCACCATCCTTGACTTGTGACATTTTAAAGCTTAATAATTTCAAAAATCAACATTCGTGCATTTTACTCTGGGCTTTTAAAACATTTGTCTTTTCATGCGTCGAGATTTGTTGAGTACGTGAGTGGTAACTGCTAACCTCTATCTGCTCGCAGAAAACGCCGTGTAAGACGATACAGAACAATGCTGTGCAAGGTCAAGGCTGTCTTAGATATTAGTATAGGACGTAAACATGCATTGTACGATTCAAGAAGTTCCCCGGGGATCTTATTTCCGGCGCAGTCCTCCCATCAGCCAAACACTGATCGGTTACAGGTAATGTGAGCTATGCAAATGATGTAAATGTATATTGTCTCTGTGCAGCTATAGACGATACTTCATAATTACCAGTCCCTGCACGGAGAGGAATGGTCTCGCATGCTTTTGATCCTCCCGGTAATGATCTTTACCGAGCTTTTAAGCGTCTTTACTCATTATGCGCCAAACCTCCTCAACATTTTTTTTTTTTTTTTTAGTTTCTCAGTTTCATCGCCGGTGTTTGCCTTTGATGGCTTCCTCTGATTGTGCTTTGGCGCCACGGTGTCATAAAGCGGCAACCCCGCTGTTCTTTGTGTGTAATGTGTAATGTTCCTCAAATATACAAATTAGAAGGAAGGCTGCAAACTCCGCAGGATGAACTGTGGTCCTTTTTTTTTCCCCAATAGTGGATGATGGGAAGGAAAGAAATGGTTGATGAGATTGAATCTGCCTTATTTTGCACATGAACAAGCTCTGATAGGCCATTCAAAGCAGCCACAATTTGGAGTACCTGCCGCAAATGAATCCGTCCATCAGCGTCGCGGCTGGAGTTGTTGGGAGTGGAGGATTGCTTCTGCCTGTTTAACACGCTGGCGTTTAATTTGGCCTCCACCTTGTTAAAAGATCCTTGACACAATCCTATTTCGGTGATTGTCTACATTACTGCCAGGACTTTTTTGCGTTGAAAGTCTTTAAATGGCCACGAGGTGTTCATATGTGTGTGAAGGGTTGTCTATATGTGCCTTGCAATTAACTAGCGACCAGTCCAGGGTGTCGACGGCCTCTTGCCCAAAGTCAGCTGGGTTAGGCTCCAGCTCACCCGTGACCATAATGAGGACAAGTGTTGGAGAAAATGCAAAGTTGGAAATGGCAAGCCTCTGTTTGCTTGTGATAAACTTGCCAGTCAGCATTTTAACGCTTCAAACCCGTCGCATCTCTTGAGCTCGCTTCATGCTAATGTTGACAAGGATGACAGCCAAACTTGTCCAAACGTGACTACAGAGGAACAGACCCGTGATTTTGGATGCACGGACGTCAGTTGTTGGCAGAAATGAAAATGGAACAGTTGAACAAGGCATTCATTCAAAAGTATTGGTACACTGAGGCCTTTCGTTTTGCTGCAAATGGAACACAACCTCAAGATGAATATGAGGCAAGAAGCGTTGCCTTTGTTTACATGCGCTCAATATTCGGGATAAGCTCAAAATTCCATTTTCTGACACATTTGGAAAACCCGTTTACATGCGTGAGCGGAGACTTATTCCCGTATACATGGTAGTTCCGATCAATTAGAATAACAAAACGGGCGAAGTACGGATAACTTATATACGCACACATATACGTACGTCTAAAAACACAATGTGTCATTTTTGGCATAGAGACAGAAAATAACGTGAACTTGCAGAACACACGCGGAAATCAATGTATTCAAGTTAGGGTCGGTTAACGAGTGGCGCCATAAGATGCCCGCCAGTGGCTTCACTCTTCGTAACGATGATTAAGCGGCATTGCTGCACATACAAATCATTCCTGTACTGAAAAGACCAAGATCTCTTGCAGAATACAAGCCAATGTCCCATTCAATGGCAGTATTCCAATCCACGTTTATCCGACCAATATATTAAGGTGAGGAAAGGGGTAACCAAGGTCTCCTATTTAGGGTTTTAACATTTTTTTGCACATATTTGAATGGTCTTTCAAAACCAGAATACTGCACACATTTGTATTTTGGTAGGTTTATTGACTGCATGCAATGGTAGTCACTAAGAGCTCAGCGCTTATTTCCAGGCATTTTTATCACCACATGGTACACCATTTAGAAGATACCACCCATTTTTCGTGTGAGCAAAATTATTAGAAAATATGAGTAAAAGGAGACTTTTGGTTTGTCGAAGACGTATTGCCTTTAAATCAATCTTTAGTTCTCAACCTTCGGTGTCCTACTTATGCCTGATGGGTTTGTCCCCTGGGGCTGATCAAAGCCGTTTATCAGCCACACCTGGCAACAACAACATCAACATCATCAACAACAACAACAACCCTCCTGTGACCACCCCCTGGGGACACTCCCACCAGAGATATAAATAAGGCAACTCTACACTCTGAAGCCTGCATCCCGCTGCATTGAAAAAGTACAAGCGAACGTTTGCGGCCCTGAACGAGCCCTGATGAAAGGTCAGTACTCGCTACCCTGGCAAACACTCACAAAACGTTTGCCGCTCAGGGGGATACGAGCTTTAGATTAAGAACTGAAGAGTCCAGGTTCCTCGAGTCAACTGTTTCAGTCGACCATGACGTGGGTGACATCATTTTACCGGCAGGTGTCTTTTATGTTGAATGTCAGCTCAGTTTCAGATTTGGGTTTGGCCTGGTGAGATGACATTTCCAGTCGATCGCGTATGTTTTTTTTGGACTCTGACATACACAGTAAACGACAGGAAATTCATCTTGAACAGGTACCCTTCGAAATTATGCCCACTCAACTGAATTTAACAAAGGTGGGCTTCAACTTACTGCGACATTTAGCAGAGCTCGGCGCTACATCTTTGGGGATACATTATTCAAGTCATTCAGCGGTACTTCTATGCATAGCTTCCGAAATGAAAACACTCGGCCATGAGGAGAGCAATGGTTTCATTCTGCTTCCCGGTCGGGACGGTGAACGTTAAGTGCAGCGAGGGAGGCTAATAATCTCTGCCACATTGCACAGGAGATGGTGTGCTACATTAAGACCTTGGTTGTGCTTGTCTAAACCCGTCACCGATCCCTTTTGATTTATGGGAACTTTGAACGGCTTAAGCCCGCTCGGGGGAAGCGGGAGACCATCTTTGCCCGTTTGAAGCCAGATTTACGGCAACTACAGAAATACTGCTATTCTCCAGCCGTGCCCGCTTTCGAATTGAGACGACTGGGACGTGTCGGGCAGGTTGGCGCGATGCCAAATCCTGCGGGTATTGCTCGGAGTTGATACAGTACACACATTTACTCCATCTGATGGGATCTCCCGATGTTATGCAAATTAGCTCCATTGTGAAGTCACGGTGAGCAAATATTCTGACCATCTCGCCCCCACAGACGCAATGTCAGATTTGGGCGGCTCCCAAAAAAGATTTTCACCTCTAATAGAGTACACTGATCAACAGCAACTTTCAATCAGAGATGGGTCAATGTGTTTTTGACATTGGTTTCAAAAATGCCTTCTTCTCTAGTGCATCGGGTTTTTGAGATATTTTCATTTTGAAGTTGAAGCTTATAATATTCTTATCCTGATGTGGTACAGTAAAAATGGCGGCTGATTCGGAATCAGCACAAAAATTTCACAAGTTGATTTGCATCTCTGACGAGAAAAAACTGAAAATTTTTGAAGCAGTGTTATTATCACAACTTATTTTCTTGTATTGCCAACAATATTCGTCTTTTTACCGCCAACAGAGGACACTTCCACTTTTTCAAATGTAATTCATCTCAATGGTCAGCAGAGCCATATACTTTTATTTAACTTACTTTAATAGAAGTTCTCCATCAAAATTTAAATCGATTGGCTTGAAGTACTCCATTAAACACTTAAACTAAGAAAAGTATATGACATTGCTCTCGTATCCAAAAAGTAATGATTGGTATAATCTGGTCGAAAACCAAACATAACACTGTCAAGTGTTGAGAATGAACCCCATTTTACCCAAATTTCATTTTGCTGGCTTTCAAATGGCCAAAAGGTATCATTTGATGTAAACAGTATTAGTTGTAAACCTGTACGCCTTATTTTTCCCATCTCATCGTGACCGGCATCTTTCAAAGATCATCTGCTAAATTTCACCACATTTTTTCTTTTTCAGGTGTTTCAGCCGGGCGGCAGATATGAGAAGAGTCTGGCGGTTTAATCCCACTCCAGCCATCAGAATCCATCAACCTGCTGAGTGCGGCGTCCCCGTAGCCTGAGCGCAATTCAAGTCCATCATCATCATCATCGCCGTCATCGTCTTTGCAATGTGAAGCTCCCTCGAGTGTCCGTCAACATACATCACGTGCCACTATGTACTTGTGCCCCTCCCGTTCCTAATTTTCTTTTTTTTTCAATTTATATAGATATTTTTTTCCATTTTCATTTTATCAATGGAAGACCACCACCAGCCAGTGTGAATGCATTACAGTCGGTCCTTTTCAATGCAAAAGACAGATTTCTTTAAAAAAAAAAAAAAAAAATCATCAGATCATTTTGAGAAGAGCCGGTCTCTGTCATTGTCCCACGCTCACTAATTAGCCTCTGTCGCCCGGGTAACCGCTATCTGTCAGCGTCTGCTCCACGTCCCCCATCTCCCGTCTCCTGGAAGCGGAGGCGATTGTAATTGAATGCCGGCTAAGCTCCAGCAAACTGCAAATGTTGTATGGGACACACCCCGACAGCCTTCTATAACGCAGTGTTTTCAATGAACACGAGACTACGGCCGGCGCGGAATGCTTGATCTTGTCGGTGAGTTGTGTGGATGTTTACACGTTTACAAGAGTTTACAAGCCTTCGTTGCCAACCGTTTTAAGTACAAATGACGAATGCCAAAATTGTGCCTCTTTGCAGTAAAGTCACACCGAGAAAAATCACTTGGGTCAGTTGTGATTGTGTATCCTAACTCATTAACATATTTTTTTTTTACCTCAATCTTGCAGGTTTACGCTTAGCAATGCTTATTATTCAAGTGCACTGGAACCACTGAAGTTGAGCACAGTACGTTCACTGACGCTGTTATAACAAGTATGAGGATGGGCTGAAATGTTCATTGGTTGACAAAGAAGGAATTAGGCCACACTCAAGAATGAATTATTTACTGTTGCTAACTCTGTGTTTGGTTTCCAGATAAACCCACCATGGATCCAGAATCAAGCTCTTGAAAAAAATGCTGTGGGACATTTTGTGAAAGTGGAACCAATTTGGTAACCGTGGCCTGCTGATGTGTTCGATTTGTTGCACATAATTACATCGGTGAATTGAGCTTGGCTGGTATATCACTGCGTACTTTCTCCTTGCTTCTTTTGACTTTCCGGATCTACAATATGGCAATCTTTGGCACATATGCTAGTTGAATCGACTGTGAATTCGCACATTGTCACATGGGCTTGGCAAAGTCGCAAACAGCAGTCCATGCGAAGAAGGCCAAGGTGGTGTCATTGGCAGGAAGGTGATGGCTTAAGTCTTCTGGGATGCAGGACTTATTTTGAGGATCAGGATGAGGGTTTCTATACTACGGGAATCCAAGCGCTGCAACACAGATTGCAAGATGCTTGTCACCCGCAGGGGAGACTGTCAAAAAATAAAACATTCGGCCAAGTTCGACCTTTGCCTCGTAGACACTCTATGAACTTAGTCCCCCCAAGAGAAACAATCTGCTTGAGGCTCAAACTGTCCCAAAGTACCAGTACCATTTTTAACTGGCAGACAAGTGTCCAAAGAAACGTTTATAGGAAGACATTAAAAACATCCGTTTAAAAAAAAGTGTTTCCTCTTGACTTGAATGATTAAAAAAATACATAGATGAGTAATTTTGCATTTTTAAAATTAAAAAGACAAAGTCAATCACTGTTCATATTATAGCTTAAATAAAAACAAAACAATCCCAATGAAGCACAAGATTCTTAAATGATGACAATGTCATATTTTAAGATTTAAATGTTCATCGCAAAATCACAAACAACAAAACACAAAAAGTGATGACGTGTCTGACTACAATAGGAGTGAGTTCCTACTGGCCATGAATGCTCAGTGAACTCAAGCATGCGTGACGGATTGAAAATTGTTCTACTTTAGAGGTTCTACCACAATAATAACGGAAGCGTCACAGAAAATATGAAATAAGTGGAAAGTCCGACAACTGCCAGTTCATGTCCATGCAAGATCTCTGCTGAGTGGACAAACTCACACGCTTCTATTTTCGGTGTAATCCTGCTGTTTGCGCACTTTCAATCATCCTAAACACGTTGTGAATAATGGATTTGCTCTCTGATTTGTTTGTTTGTCGTTGTAGGCGAAATAGCTACCTTGCATAACTAGAAGAGAAATGCACGGCAAACCCTCCCCACCCCCCTCCCAGAAGTAAACACCCCTTAGGCACACACGCACACACACATTTTTACGTCCTGGTCCCTAAGCTAAAGCATGGGATGCTGTGTGTACAGTAGCCCTTGACCTTGCCGGGTGTCCTCATGGCCGCACGCCCGCTGGAAATTAAATTACAGATTAGTGGCTGCAGGCCCAAAGGCGGCTTTGGTCGGCTCTCTCTCGTATTCGGGGATTGGTGGTGGGGGATTAGAGGAAGGAAAGTCTTGAAGATGTTTCTCGCCCTTTTTAGCAGATCGCTAGCTGCAAACACCACTGACCCGTGCATGGCGTCAGCGAGACACCAGGGACATACATTTCGTGAGTATAGAGAGGGGTTGGTTGGGAGATGAGAGGTACAGTTGGTTGGGGAAGGAGGCAGGTTGGTTGGTTCTATACCGTATTTTCCGGATTATAAATCGCTCCGGAGTATATATCGCACCAGCCATAAAATGCAGATAAAAACATATATATATAAGTCGTACTGGAGTATAGGTCGCATTATGGGGGAAATTTGTTTGATAAAGCTAGCCAGGTAAATTGGACTGCAAATAACAGCATATGCATGAGCTCGGAATAATCAATTCAGTTTAAATTTATTTATTAATTTATAGAACGTTATATATTAAGCATACTGTATTATAATGAATAGTACAGCTTGATCAGCATGCGACCTACTGACTGTTGGTTTGTTGATTATCGTTTCATCTCCAAGACAAACAGAAACTTTGAGGCTGTTCACACCTAATGGGAACATAGTTTCAAGTGTGAACACAAAGCACTTCTCAAGTTAAAATGAGTTTTCAAAGCCATAGCTAACAGAAAGTGAATGTTAATGTTTGGATATACCCAGTGTGAGCTCACTTTGTTTGGGTCCGAGCTGACAAACAGTGTGCACTTGTGGCATGTTGTCATTCCAAACAATTGCTTTTTTGGAGGCGGCCTAAAACCGACAAACTGAGCAAACTCAGCAGGCAAGTTTAAGCAAATAGAACAACAACGTGACGCCTCGGGCTGGGTCAAACATCCCCCCTCAAATAAATTCTCTTTTGCCATTAGGGAAAAAAAAAATTGGAGCGGAACTACGATGATTTCAAGTTCATGTATATTACTCACACAATCTTTCAATGCCAGCCATTAAAAAAAAACAACAAAAAAATTCTTGAGTGCCAGCCAACTCTGAGCATTCTGAGTGATATTTCAAGGCTTTGATTATATTGTTTAGCGTTTTATGATTACGTAATCAGAAACTACCAAATAAAAGATTAGAATTTCTTCTTTCATCACACAAAAAGTTTGTTTCTATGTTATTCCATTTTTCAAGTAATGATAAAAGGTAAATGGACTGTCACTTATATAGCGCTTTTCTACCTCAGGTACTGAAAGCGCTTTATTCTGTTACTTCATTCACCAACTGATGACGCAGCATCAGGAGCAAGACACTCAAGTCCTTGAGTGTCTTGCTCAAGGACACTTGGACGTGGTCACAATGGCCAGGGATCAAACCACCAACCTGAGCCATGACACCATTTAGCAATAAGCAGTAAAACATGGATTGGTTTCACTCAAATCACCTATTTCAGGACCAAAAAATGCAGAAAAAATCTTTGGGGTGAAAAAACAACAGTGACTTTTATGCTATTGTTTGATTTAGTGACATTGCAACTTTCTCAACACTCCTTTTCTTGTATAAAATACCAACGACGACACCTATGAAAATGTGCTTTTTTATTTTGATGGCAAAATAATGGATGTGCACATAATCACCAGTCTAAATATTTAGTAGTAGTATTTCGAAGTGTGTGCGCATAGATCCGTGCCATGAGCCATATATATATATATATGTATGTGTGTGTGTGTGTGTGTGTGTGTGTGTGTGTGTGTGTGTGTGTGTGTGTGTGTGTGGCTTGGCTGTATCTGCCTTGCCCCAAGTAGGTTGCCCACCCTCCTATAGATAATGTATAGTTGTTCACATAACATCCATGCATCGGCACAGTTTGTTACATATGTGCCTTTTCTTCCCTAATTCAAAAATGGCATGCACGCTTTTGTTGATACCCTCACTTAAAGGAAATGTCGACTGGTGTTTTTTTTTTTCCAATCCACTCTCGAATGGACAAACAAAACACCTGAGGTCAGCAAGTGGTTCCAAGTACTTTGGACTCAGAGTGCATGCATGCTTCCAATGTGACGTGCTAATCGCTGACAGGAAGCCGCTGCAATTAAATGAGGGAATAAAGACAAACAGCTCCGGGGACACAAGTGAATACCAATGGGCAAATAGTTTATTCATGGAAACGGTGGATTCTCCATCACACGCCATTAAAGTGCATGTAAATAAGTTTGGCAATGGCCACTTACATCACGTGTAAACACCGCAAAGAAGGAAAAAAAAAAAAGGCTGCTCACCGGAAGCGCCCCTTGCATCATTTTTACGATCTGCCCGGGTTTGTTCGCCACTTCAGGAGCGGCGTTTTAACGTTTTTTTTTTTTTCCCCTCCCCCGAGGAGTTCTGATGGCGTAGTTAGTATGCAGAGGATGGAGCGGCGCATAAAACAGCCAATGCGACTGTGGTGGAGCGATACTTTTTCGACTGAACTTGCTAATAAGCACGCTGTTTTATGACGCTCTGAAGCAAGCGTTCACCCTGTGAATTCGCTTTGGAATTCACAGGAAGTTTCCTCATTGGAAAAGCCTCAGAAGCTCCCAGATAAGTGCTGCTAAGGCTCACAAAAAAGGCCCAAAGATGTGATTTCAAATATTCTTCAGGATCAGCTGAAGGTTTTCATCTCATGAATGTTCCGGGGGATGACACGTTAGTTTGCCCTGAATTTTCATGCTCACATGCCAAAAGTGAAACATCTATCTGAGAACGTACGTTTTCGAGAAAAATTTCACCTTTCAACCGGGTAAGTATGGCACACATGTTGGATATAGACGATATATTCCATGAAATCTACTTGTTAATATTTTCCACAAAGACAGTGGTGCTCGTGTTTTACAGTTACATGCTGTTACTTACGACCCGATCCCACTTGAGCGGCGAACAATTACGAGTATTTTTCAAAGGTGCCAAATGGTCGCCAGACGCTCGCCTCAGCTTTTCTTGTCAACAAGAAAAAAACACAACTTCTGGAGAACATCTGGCAACCGTTTAGCAAACATTTGTGAACTTGGACGAACTCTGACGAGAGCGCAGCATTCGCAAACACTCGTAATGTTTGGCCGCTTGGTGGTTATTTTTGATTTGTCTCTGCAGCCAAAATTTGAATTCCAAGCATGGAAGCAAGTTGGCCTTTAATACTCGACTAGCGATTGTTTTACATCACCACCAAACCAAATCGGTGAACAATCTGCTCGTACATCGACCAACAGCGACTCAACTGTGATCCCGAGTCAATGACTTGTGACACTTGAACGAGATCTCATGTATATTTCAAGGCTGAACTCATTGCCGCGGATCAATTTACACCTTTTATCCATTTCTGCACGTGTGCCTTTCAATGAA